CCCCAACCGCCACCACCACCACCACCACCACCACTACCACTACCGCCACCACCTGGATGTCCAGGCTTTTGAAACCTTTACAAGCACAGGATCAAATAACGCGTCGAAAGTACAAACAACAATTGATCAGGTGTAAGCGGTCCAACAGGAAACGCGCTCACAGGGATCGAACACCGATCAATGTCGGCGGCCAGGTGGGCGAAGGAAAGGCAGGCTCTGGAACCCCACCTCCCGGTGTGTTCCAGCACTTCGATTCGTTGAAACAACTGCAATAGATTCACAGGACAAGAGGCTCCAAGCGGAATAAAGCCCCGTCCCTTGCCATCAACCGTGGTTTGGTTCCTTTCACTCCCGGCCAACAGACACATAGGCGGATCTCTTCGGGTGCAACGGCTCCTCCTTACCTGACATCCCAGTTCTCGAGCACCCGCGCGCACACCAACAGGTCAGCCTTCAACCTCGTCGACCCATCTGCTTGCGCCATGGGCTCGTCTCCACCGCCGCCGCCGCCGCCGCCGCCGCCGCCGCCGCCTTCCAAAGACCGCAACGCGCATAGCATCAGGCACAGAAACTCAATCACCTCGCCTCTCGGGAGGCCCGGGAACGAGGGCGCCTGTCGCTGTCGCCCCCGTACCCCGCCGCTGCCGTCGACACCACCGCTGCTGCTGTCGGCGGTGTCCTCGCCCATGAGAGGCCTGACTGCGCAGCAGCAGAGTGACAGCCGGTCCTGCGAAGCCGACGTCGCAATGGCTAGACCGAAGGCCTCCCACCCGCTCCAGCTCCCAACCCCGCCGCCATGACCACTGCCGCTGCTTGCACCGCCACCGGAAGAAGCAGCAGCGCATGCACCTGCTGCACCGAGTAGACCCCACTCTTCACAGAGAACCTTCACCGCGTCGAGGTGTCGGCTCATCCGTCGCCGTCTCTTGCCGGCGCCACCCACGTTGCCCTGCCCCGCTTGCCCTCCGCCGCCGACTTCGCTATCACCCGTTGCCATCGCCGATACTGCGGTGCCCCCCTCGTCGGTGACGCCTCCATCGCCATCCCCGTCGCCCTCCTCCTGCTCGGCTGCCCACTCAAGCCTCGCCAATACATCGGTGGCCGTACACTCCGTGAAACCTCCGCCCCGTACCAGTCGCGCACGCACCGTATCCCACCAGCATCCTCCTGCCTTACCCCCGCTTTCCCGCTTTCCACCACCACAAGGACTGCGGGCCTTTCTACCCGAAGGCGACGCCTGCGACGGCTCTCCCCCCTCCCCCCCCCCCCCCCCCCCCCCCCCCCCCCCCCCCCCCCCCCCCCCCCCCCNCCCCCCCCCCCCCCCCCCTCGTCCTTTTGTTCTCTACAAACGTCCCCCGCTTCGGTTGGCTCCCCGGCGCAGACCTTGGCGACCTCTCGGCGCGCCGCGGCGCAAGGCATGGCATCGACCGCACGCATCCAGTTGCCGCAGACTCCGCGGATGAGGCCGAAAAGCTCGCGTGACGATATTCCTGGGCTGCAGAAAACCTGAATAAAAGAAGCGGAAGAGGAACGAGTTTCCTATATCAAGGGCGGAGGGAGGAAGATGGGGGATGCGTGTGTTTGGCGAGAAAAAGAAAAGAGCGCGGAAGCAGGCGTGTGAGTTGGAAAAGTGCGGCGGACGCAGACGCTCATGATCGGCAAAACCTGAACAAACCCAAAACACCAAAACGACGTCGCCCGGCCGAAAATCTATGCGGAACCACAGCGATGCACCCACAAAACGCAGCACGGAAGCCTTGGCCCGATGCAAGCAAAGGAGCTGTTCGACAGGAACTGTGTGAGTGAGGAAAGTCCTCATCCGAGAGGGGGAAATATGATCCACTGTTGTGGTGTGTACTGTCAAAACGGATCTCCGCTCTTCGTACCTACGGCACGATCTCCAGCATCACCGCCAAAACTCGTTTGTGGGGGAACCAACCCCTGCTCAACTCGGGCTACACCGCAAACAAACGCTAGTGGCTCGCTCAAAGCCACGGCAGACGGCATTCATGTTCTCGAACCTAACAGACTCGCAAGGAGGAGCGCGTGCGACTGTGACAAAACAAACTCACCTGCCACAGAACCTCCCAGGGCATGCTATCCAACATCGTTCCCCCTCGTGCAGAGCCGGACGTGGATGTGGAAGACGAGCCACCGCTTTTGGAGGTGGTAGCGCCGGAAGACCTGCCGAAGTCGAGAAGGAGCGTCTTCTGTTTCGATCGCAGGCGGTCCTTGTTCGCCTTCGCCTCGTTGCGCCTCTTCTGCTGACGCTTGTCCTCTTTTTTCGCGGCATCCCGCAACTGTGATCCATATCCGGAGAAATGACGACGAGGGGAATTGGGGGGGGCGTGCTCTTATGTTTTGCATGCCGTAGCGGTTTGACCATTGACCACGCATCCTCGAGAGCACGGAACATTGTTCCGACAGGACCGATCCTCGATGGCCAATCGTTCCTTCCTACTTTGCCAAAGGTGGCTCAAGAATGTCTTCCCTAGTCTGTCTGCCAAGAGACGAAAACCCAATCCCGATGGCAAGCATCGGGGGGGGGGGGGGGGGGG